CAATTAAGATTTTGCTATCTGATCAGAAAACTCAAGACTTTGATCCTGATTAGAAGAGTAAAAGGTATCAGAAAGCAAGTGGGAAGAAATAGAGTTTTGGTGGGGAGAGAAGAAGTCACTGAACGTTGATTATTAATATAGCAGCTTCTTGGTTAATCCATTTAAGATGACTAAGGTCTCTTGCTACTGCTAATACCAAAGTCAATTGGAAAGGACCAGTGAGAAGGCCTGGCCTATTTACAATTGCTAGGAACCTATTCCCAAGAGCCACAAGGGGGGAGACACAAGTGTCCAATCTTCTTCTAAATCCAAGTGGTCCTACACAGGCTCCCATCCTCTAGGACTAGCAAGTTTCAACTATTCAGTTGCATTCTGACATGCTTTCCTGAGTGGAAGAAAATAAAGGAAGAGTGAAAGCAAGCAGTGCAAACTGCACAGAACAAAAAATATGTACATGGGAGAATGTTGCAAATAGGCTCATCCTCCTTTACATATGTCACTCCAGGAAAACTGCCAAAAACAGCTCACTCCTCTAGACACACTTCCTGCAGATCCCCCAGATTCCTCCTTAAACACATGTCAGTATTCTCCTCATCCTCCCTTAGTTTCGATCCTCCTTTTGCCCCAAGATTTCCAGTGCATACTTTTAAAAACTTTTTTAACATTTATTTATTTTAGAGAGGAAGGGAAAGAAAGAAGGGGAGGGAGGAGGAGGGAGGGAAGAGGAAAGAGAGAGAAATTTCAATTGGCTGCTTCCTGCAGGTGCTCCAAACAACCTAGGTATGTGCCCTGATCAGGAATCAAACCCACGACTTTTCAGTGCATGGAACTACACTCCAATCAAGCCATACCTGCCAGGGCTCAAAGTGCATACTTTATATTCTCAATAATATATGGCAATATCAATATATGGCATCCTATTTATCAATATCTGTGTCTCACATCTGAACAAACATCCTAATGCCTTATTGAGTATTTCTACCTTTCATAATGAAATTTCCAATATATTACTACTGAAACAGATTTTCTTTGCAAATAAAGGATTTATCATGTCAAGATGAAAAAAAAAGATGGCAAATTTCAAAAATATATTTAAGGAGTACAATTGTTTTCTTTCTCCCTAATCCTAATATCAGAGTTCAGAAATCAGCAGAATTCAGGGCCTGTTCTGTAGAAATAAAAATGTATTCAACCCAGTAGATGTGTTCTGGCAAGTCCGAAATAACATGTAGCTTTTCAAGTACTCTATTAAATAAGACTTTTTTTAAGGTGAGAAGTTCACCAAGAAACCATTTCTAATAAAAGGAATTCTCCCAGCAAAGTAAAAATCAATTACAGTGGTTTTGTACTTTGGGAGAACTAGATTTTCAGGCACCAACATTCCCATTATGATTTATTGTACGGGTAGTTGGAAGGCAAGAAGCAGAGAAAGCGGATCAGATCCTATGTATAAAAGATAAAACTTTACTGAAATAGAAAATAAACTTAATTAACTAATGCTAATTGAATTCCACTTTTTAAGATCATTTACATGAATTATCTTTGATATATAAAATGGAGTCTCATTAAACTGTACAGTCAGGAGCACACAGTTTCTTTGGGACTTAAAAATCACTATAGATTAAGAAATCTCACTGTAAAATGAGTTGAGCAATCAAAGCTATTCATAGATAAGTATGATTAAATTATGGTTGAATAAAAGTCAACTGACTAAGGTCCATTTATTAAGAAGTAAGTAAGTAATCAAACTGGTCAATGTTCACATTATGAAGGATGAACTTTTATATTCTCCCACACTTGATTATTAAGATTTTGCATTCCTCCATTAGTTAGCAAAGAATTGAATGATCTATATGAGTGATGGTTTAAAGAATCACCATTCTGGTGGTAAGGATACTACATTGAACTCAATGCAAGGAATTCAAAAGCATTCATCCTTGGAACCTTTGTCTCAAAAATTTAGTAAATTAACTTTATGAAAAGACTGCTTATGTTTTTCAACTCAGACATGCAATGATTATGTTTTGCAGTCTTCCAAACAATATATGTTAATTTGTTAAATAAGAAATTTTAACATAATATATCTGAAATAGAACTAAAAATTATTTTTGAAAGAGAAAAAAATTATCTAAACACCGATGCAAAGCTACACCAAGTTTCTTCACAATGTCCCAAAACATTAATGAAAGGGTTACATAAATCCACCAAACTAAAGATTTTAAAGAGAGCTGCAAGAATCTCTTTATTTTCAAGCTGCTTTCCCTGTTCTTATACCCATAAAAACAAATCTAAATCAACTCTTTCTAAATAATAAACCAACTATGTTTTTTATAGAACAGCACAACATATACATATATATTCTCAATATACCTTAAAGTATTAGGGAGTACATTTAGGTTCCTCAAACAAGTTAAATTTATACAACATATGCCACATCTAGTCTATTCTCAAGGGAGAAAACTATCAGAACCAAAGTGCCTGCTTTAATAAACTCTTTACTTTGTTGTTAAGCCTCTATCCAAGGTGCTTTTTACTGTCTAGTATTATCAGTACTTCTCTCTTCAAAAATCTAGAAATCTAAAGTACACAAGTACATCTGGTTCCCTTAAAAATGCTTTTTACATTATGTTTTGTATTAGTGTCAGGCCATGAAAAGTTTTAAGATACTTTAAAAAACAAACACCTCTTTTCACTTTTCTCTTTTGATATGTATCTTATTTGGCTTTTGCTTATTTTCATATATGAACTATTCACAGACAAGTCTGTCTCAGTGTTAGTCACTTACTGTCAATATGTCTGGGTATACTTAGGGTTTTATAGACAATGCTTTACAGTAGGGTGGTAAAAAAAGGGAGATAAACAAGGGTGCACAAATGAAACAAAGTGCACCCCACTGAAAAATACCACTCAATTTCATTTCTCTGCCTCAGATTCCCTTAAGTCCTTTTGCTAAAGATTCTCAATATCTAAAAAGAGGCACAACATGATATGTGATAAGGAAAGCATAGTAGAAACAGAAGAAATTCAATAGAATGTATCATGACCTGAGAAAGAATTAGCACAAAAAGAAGAAAAACAAAGAAATAAATAATAAACCCACTCCCTAGACACCTCTACTGAAGGGCTGCTTTTGCTGTACTGCATGTCTCAAAACAGTGTTTCACACTCTTTTGAATGTCAGAAACACATTTTACATTGTGACCTAGTACACACATGCATGAGAAAAATTTCCTAAAACGATACTTTTCCTTACCAAGTGCAGTGCTAGCTCATTCTGTTCGTCGATTTATATTCACTGCTGGTGGTAACCCACTAAAAACTGATTTTATAAATTACCAGCAAATCATGCTCCGCAACTTGAAAAACAGGCTTAAAATAGAATATCCCTCATATTAAGATCTTTTTCTTCTACAACTGGCCTCTCTCTAGCAGGGTAGAAAGGTATTTTAACAGTACTTTATTACTGTTTTCATTTAAAGAAAGTGGTTCTCGAAGTAGACCTACATAAGCATCACCTGAGGTAAATGAAAATTCCCAGGCCCTACCCAGACCTACTGAATCAGAAACACATGGGGCCAGCAGCCTGTAGTTTACCAAGCCCTCAAGGTGATTCTGGTGCATGCTAAAGTTTGAGAACCACCTACCTCGTTAAAGAATTCAGGTCTTTCTTCATCCTCTATTTAACAACCCAGTACACAGTCCTTACTCTGTACCAGTCACTATTCTGAAAGTTCTACAAGTATTAACTCTTGTGAAAAAAACCAACCCTATGAAGTAGGAATTATTATTATCCCTATTACACAGATAAGAAAACTTTTGCACAGAGAGGTTAATGTTACCCAAGCCAGGTGGTGGGACTAGAACTCAAACTTATTTCTAACTTGGCAAGGGTATGTCTATCCTCTTCATGACTCCTCTCTCTGATCAAGTCCCCAGTCCTATTCCCTTTCAAATTCCCCATCCTGTCAATGTCCTTATTTTCTAATATTACTGCTGTCATCCTGAAATAAATTTATTTTCTAAAACACTGGAATGCAAGTCACTTAACCTTGCTTTTGGGACCTTTTCTCTGGTTCTCAATGGTATCTTAGTATTATGATGCTGAAGTGCCTTCTATTTCTGAAGTTCTTAAAGTTTATTGGTGGCCTCACTGGTAACTTCTCACATCAACTGTACTGGCCCGTTTCCACAAGACCACTGCTCTCTTCCTGAGCAACTAGCTCGCTTGCTCGCTCCCACTACGCCCTATCTTCTACTCCCTTCCTACAAGGAAATGATCCCTCCCCCACCCCCACCCCCGCCCACCTGGTGTATCATTTTGCTAGACTCTTAACTGAAAGAACTTCCACTCCCCACCTAGACTCCTCACCCCAGTCTCAAGCCCAGCTACTCCTCAAGGGCTTTTTTCTTGGTGTTCCGGGGATCCTCAGACCCAGAAGTTCCTAGTTCAGTTTTGGGTCTCCCATCCCAGATCAGCGGTGCGGGGCAGGGCGCTCCCGTTCCTCTCCAAGCTAATCAAGGTATCCACGGATCCCACTCTCCTAAGACCCGCAGCTCCTCAACTCCCCAGGAGCACTCCTCCCTCCGACAGCTGCCTTTCTCGGGAGGTCCCCAGCCCCCTCCCTGTCATTCTTCGACGTCCAAGTTAGGACTCAGGTCGCTCCTGTCACACCGGACCCCAAGCCGCCCCCGGCTTCCCACCTCCCCCAAACCCGGGCCACTCCCAGTTTCGCGACCCCCCCCATCTCCCCCCTTGGCCGCTCCAGGGCTTCCCGGGTTCCCCTTCTCCCTCGAATCCAAGCTGCCCTGGGCATTCCCGAGTCACCCCGTCCTCGGGCCAGGTCACTGCCGGTCACCCTCCTGTCTGGGACCCCGGCCGCTCCAGGCTCCCCAAGGACCTATCCCACACACACCGGCCCCGGTCAGTCTCCTAGACTCTAGCAGCACTACGTCCCAAGGGACCTCCCGGCCTGACCCGATTGGGTCTGGTCCCAGCCTACCTGGCCGACGCGAACTCCGCCGCCAGGAGCCGGGCCATTCTCCCACCAGCCCAGTCTACGCGAACTCGCCGCCGCCGCCGCCCCCGCCTCCGCCCTGGCCCCGGCCCGACCCGGCCCGCAGTCCAGGGCCCTGTCCTCTGGCCTCCGCCTCTAGAGTGCCGAACTAGAGTTCTCCGCCCAGCGACAGCCTCCAGACCTCAGGGCCGCGTTACCGGCACTCACCTGCCACTTCCCCCGACCAACTCCAGCGCCACTGCCTCTACCGCGGCTGCCAGTAGCCACCAAGCGCCACCACCTCCCCCATGACAACAGGCCCACCCCGTTTTATACTTCCTACCTCTCCATTGGATAATGAGGCAGCTGCTCTCTGTTCTGAATGGCTTAGTTTACCTGTCCGTCTTAGCTTTCTTACCTCCCCTTTTCCTGGACCCGGTTTTAGCTCCCGCCCAGTCCTGGGTCGATCCAGACCAATCTTTAGTTGTAATTGGTTGGTGGTTGGACAGCTTGAAATTATGATAGGCTATCTAAAGTGTCTGTTAAATCAATTGGCAAGGTCTGTGACGGCCAGGGTTGGTGCAAGCACAGTTTGGTTGCGCGGCAGAAAGCCAGGAAGGGGCAGTAGCTCACTTCTGAGGTTACCGGGGAAGGGTTAACTCTTTATTGTACGGGTTACTCTGTAAACTCATCCCTTTCTCCAGTTTATCACTGCTCGTTTACTCCTAGGGTAGTACTTACGGAGTAGAACTTACAAAGAAAACACCAACTTCAAAAGTTTTGTTTAAGAAGTGTTTCCCACTCCTTGGGAGAAAAGCACTATATAAATATCTCCTTTTCTTGAGGTCCCAGTGCGCCCGTTTACCTTGAAGTTCTTCTCAGAAGTCTCCATGTTAAAATGGAAAGCACAGCTGTTTATTTAGCAATACTTCGATTACAATTATAAACGTCGTTAATAAACCGAAGTGCCACATTGAGAGTGCTCCAGCTTCCACATTCACAACCTGGCTGACATCTGCGAAGTGACCAGGCAGCCTTCAGCAAATTTAGACTAAATGGGCCACACTTTACTCTTGTGATGCTCTGGAAATGAGCATTCCTCTCCCCTCACCTCCCACCAACTTGATTTTAATGTTCAGCAGTTCTTAAATAGTCCTACTAGATGTGTGTCAGATATTTAAAAAGCTTGCCTTTTTTCCCTAAACTGCTCCTCTTCCCAGCAGTCTAAATTAGGGCCATTGAATGAACTGCAGTTCTTTTCTCACATTGGCACAATGCGCAAGAATAAATGATTGCATTTTTTATTCATTTGGGTACAAATCACAGTGGGCATTTTTGAGAAATCTGGTGTTGCTATAAAAACTCTTGTGCTCCCAGAAATATATTCATCACTAGCTTTTTGCTTTTCTTTTTAATTTCTACCCACTTTTCCTGCTTCTAAATAGCAAAATGTTGTCCTGATTACTCTCTCAATTTCTAAATCAGATTTAAATGCACCTTCCTGACAACTTCACCTATTATACACAAACCCATGGGCCATGACACCCAGGGATCAAGAAGGCAAGGAGGTATTCCCATTCACAAGCATTATTTTATATTTGGAAATTTCTGTAGGACCAAGAATCTGAACTGGAAATTTTGTGCTTTGCCCCTTTCTTTTTCTTGCTAACTCCTTGCTCCTGTCCCTTCTATTTACTCTCCTGTCCTTTGCAGAGTAAGCTACAAGGACTCTAAAACTGCTCTAAAGGAGTCTAATGGTACATTATCCAGAAAACAGAGTTGTCCATTTTCTAGCCTATAAACCACGTGCCTCTATCATCAAACTAAGCGGAAATTATTTCTCAGGTAACTACACATAACAATAAGGTGTCTTTCCCTAGTTAATTTCAGAAACTTTCCTCCTCCTTCTCTCATCTTCACCTTCTAATTTAGAAATAACCTCCCCTTCAATTCAATGACTCATAAAAAGCGTGTGAAAGGAAAGTGGAAAAGCCAAAATAACTTCAGATATGTCTGAATCATTCAGTCGAAGGAAAAAATCAGACATAGATCATGATGAGGTAGAATCCAAGACATAAGGCAAGTCTGAACTAATAACCTATAACAAATGAAGTAACATGCAATGTGAAGATGTTCCAATGAGAAGGTGTCAGTATGTCCTTTAGGCAGCCTTTTAATACATAATATTACCGGCAGTTTTCTTCTCTCTAGTCTTGGCAAGGTGTCTTACCTACCAATTTTAGAGCAAGTTAGAAGGTAATTAATGCCCTGGCAGATAGGAAAAAATAACGTCACAGGAAGGCATGGTCATTATGACGATACTTAGGGTAATAATGGCTCTTGTGCATTCATAGTGACTAAGTGCCATAGAAAATGTAGATTTAGGCCAGCCTCACTAAGAGGATTTGCTGTCTAAATTAAGGAAATCAGAAATTACTACCACAAAACTAAGAAAAATACTACAAAGATCAACTATTCATTCTATTTTATACACTCCAAAAAAGTATTTATATGTATGTATTTTTTGCTTATGCACAGGTATACACTATACTTCTCCCATTCCTTGAGAAAATCAGTTCAGAAAAGAAATGTAAAATAAATCCAGTGCAACCCAATAAACTATGTGCAACCCAGTAAGAAGAGAGAAAACCTTGAAGAAGAAGGTTGTAAAGAATATTATTTGATCTAACAGAAGGCTATAGTGTTCTTAAAGCCCATGCAGTACTGGAAAGATGATTGCTTGTACCCTTTGTCTTGATTTTGCATGCATACTGTAACCTTATAACATAATTACTCCAACCAACCTCTCTTTTCTTTCCTGTGTTATGTGTTTCTCCACCTCTCTCAAGACTCCCTCTTAGAAAGCAAGAGCATTGGAGTCAGGGAGTCTGCAGTTTTGTGTTATGTGGCTGGTTGTGGAGGTGGTGCAGATGGTATCTACTCAGTTACTTGAGCAAGACCAGCATGGCAGGTATATTAAAGGCAAAAATAGCTTTTACAAATCCTGGTTAAGTGGAAAATAAGGACTCAGAGGGACGTCCCAATGTCTAAGGAGTAGTACAGTTTGCCTTGGGCTTTAGTGTGTGCTGATGCTACTTTTTGCTCTTTCCTTTGCTATTCCTGTCCTCTTTTCAACATCTCACTCTTCAGAGGCGTAGGATCCAAGTCTCTTTCCACTTCTATTTATTTCTGGGAGGCAATCTCAACCAGAAAAAAGCTCCATTTTTTGTTTGTTTTATGCCCCTCCCCCATTCTATATACAATTCCAAATGGATTAGAGAATCAAATAACTGGTGGAGAAGACGATCAGTCTGGTTTGCAGACCAGAGCTGCTTGAGCTGCCTGCGACTAGTAGTTGGAGGCAAGCCAAGATCTTTGATAAGAGGTGGTTCCCTGAGTTAAGGATCCTCGAGTGAGGCTGATAAAGATGAATGGATTGGAGAGGAGGGAAGGGGGGGCAGGGGCAAGAGATATGACAAAGAGGGAGAAGATCAGCCAAAAAGAGGGTAAGGGAAGCTAGAAAGAAAGCCAAGAGGCCACAGAGTGCTGAGCCGCTTAGAGTCCTGCCCTACCTCCCCCCACTGCACCCCCCCACCCCCGTCTGTGGACTTTACACCAAGTTGCACAATTACACCAGCAAGGTGCAGCCTCTGCCACTGGTTGAAAAGAGAACCATGCCAGCATTGTACTCTATGGGACCATTGCTCTACTGCTACCTGGAAATCCTCTCTGAGCTCAAAGCCTGCTGCCTTGGCACCAAGGCAAAGCTGACAAGGAGGATAGATGCATGCAGGCAGCCAGCCAATAAGTGTATCTTCATCTGATTTGATAAAAGTGACCACTGGCATGAAGCTCTGGATGAACAAAGGGAAACTATCCGGAAGAAGATGAATTTACCATCCCAAACTGGGGAGCTTCCAGCACAGGGAAGTGCCAAGCTGCCTTCCATGCTGTAGAAAAAGCATTGTGGTTTCAAAGTTCAAGGCTCTGTGCCATGCATGGGAAGAAGAAAAAAAAGAGAGCGAGGAAAAGTGAGAGAAAGATTATGGAAGAGAGTGTTCTTTCAGGCAGAACCATTTACTTTCCAATGCTAAAACTTGTGTGATCTTTAAAGAGCACACCATACTTTCCCATTACTCAATGCATGCCTTTTCATCCTCAAGAAAAATGTGGGTACCCCTTTATTCATCTTGCATATTGTAAGATGGCTTGAGTGTTTCTAAAACGGATGGGCTGCAGTTCTCAGTTCTGCCTTTGCACTATTGAATGGAGCCCCTGGTTACTATCACCAGATCTATGAGTGGACCAGCCATTATTCTGCAATAGGGAGTGGGCCCCTCGAAGTACTTAGCATCATTTAAACTTTTTTCTATCCCTGTTTTTACACACACACACACACACACACACACACACACACACACACAGAGCGTTTCCTGGAAACATGGCTATACTCCAAGGATTTCAGAGAGTAGAATGCCTTCTAGAACTCCAGTTCTTAAATCACTTGAAATCTCATAAGAAGGTACTGGAACTCAGACTCTTGAACCTAAATGTGTTCAAATCCTGGTTCCTCCATTTACTAGCTGTGCGACTTTGGAATAGTTGATTATCTCCTTAAGCTTCAATGTCTTTATCTACAAAATAGAACATGTATTAGCTCTCTTTTGCTGCTTAACAAATTATCCCCAAACTTAATAGCTTAAAATAATATTTATTCTCTCCATATCTGTGGGTCAGAAATCCTGGTGCAGCTGAACTGGTCCTCTGGCTCTAGGTCTCACAAGGCTGCAGTCATCTCAAGGCTCAGTTGGCAGGAATCTGCTCCCTAGCTCAGTTCATCATGGGCAGGTCTCAATAGCTCACAGGCCTTCAGGCTAAGGCCTTAGATCCTCATGAGCTATTGACCCAAGTGCCTTGCCTTGTGGGTTTCTCCGTAGAGCATCTCAAAATGTAGCAGCTTACTTCATCAGAGCAAGCAAGCAAGAGGGCAAGAGAGAGGGCCAGCAAGAGAGAGACTGATAGCAAAACAAAAGTCATAGTCTTTTGTAATCAAATCACAAAAGTGACACCCCATTACTTTTGCCACATTCTATTAGAAACAAATCATTAGGCCCAGCCCACACTCAAGGAGTGAGGATTGTGTAAGCGTATAAATATTAGGAGGGAGAGATCACCGGAG